TCCCTAATCTATCTACTCTACCGAAGGTTTATGGTGAAAGATAATGCTTTAACAGCACAAATTGCATCTCATAAAGCAGTGAAAAGTACAAATCAATATTTTTATATTGACTAAGCCTTACCATAAAGGTATAAGAGTTTAGTGATACATACTTCATGTTAAAGCAAAACCAAGGTACTAATTGAAGAATGTGGTGATTACTTTTTTTCTTAATGGCCTTAAAGAGATGTCGTAGTCCACATATAATGTTCCAAAGTTCTGAATATCATTTTTGTGTGTTGGGGGGGCAGTAATTAGGTTTATTTATTTATTTATTTTTTAGAGGAGGTACTGGGGTTTGAACCTAGGACCTTGTGCATGCTAACTAAGCATGCCCTCTACCAGTGAGCTATACTCCCCCCTGTGAATATCTTTCCAGTGTTTAGGCATGTCATACTTAAATTTAGAGACTCATTTATGATTAAAATTAAATGTAAGAAGACATATAAATGTCAAAAAAAAATAAATGCAAGCATAATATACCTAATCAGGAGGTACTTTTGACATATGGAGCTTCAAGACCTGAGCCACAATGAGTCAATGGCAGAAAAAGTCATTGAGAAGGTTTCCATGTGTTTATACTGTCTGGCTTGTGACAACTGAACAATCCTAGTCTATCAGCCTGATCGAGGTTCCTCCGGCCATTCCCTGAAAAGTGAAAGACATCAGTCTTCATGGGCCAACAGAAAGCAACCAAAGGGTCCCTCACAGTCATGTTCAAAACCAAGCTGGTCTGAGCTGGTGTTAGCATTGTTTCAGAATGTCTCCTTCCCAGTAAATCCCCATGAAATTCTCTACAGCGGTAAATCTGAATGCAAAACCCACCCGCTCCTTGAGAACAGTACTAAGAAATGAGGGCTAACAGTCATGAGGAGAGGGGGATGGGGACATGTGATGAGGTGCAGCTTCCTTTGGCTTCCCCATATCAGCACTATTTCAACTTTTGTATATAGTGATTCTTTTTCCCTTTGGGGGAACAGAGGCAGCCATAAAAATGATCTAGGGTTTAGCACCCAGGAAAGGACAAAGAAACTGGAGGGGGAAATGGGAAATGAAGGGGAGACAAAGAGCACACAATATGGGGATGCCAGGAGGGTACTAAAATGTGCATGAGGATTTGATTAAACCACACTAATTTAAAGAGCATGCCAGTCTTCATTATTCTTTACTTAAAAAGTCATCATATCCCCTTGCAAAAAAGGCTGAGGTTAGTGTTGCTTAAAATAACCCATATTTCCTTTCACACAAAGCTGCTTAATTAAATGATGATATAATATGTTAGGCTGAACCACATGAAATTCCCCATATTCGACCATTTTTTCCCAGCTTTATTGAGGCTTAAGTGACAAATAAAATTGTATCTACTTAGAGTAAAAATAAATCTAGCGATGATTTGCTAGACATATACATTCTGAAATGATTATGACAATTAAGTTAATTAACATATCCATCACTTCACAGTTACTTGGTGTATGAGTGTGTGTTTGTGTGGTGAGAATGCTTAAGGTCTATTCTCTAAGTAAATTTCAAGCTCACAATACAGTATTATTAACTACAGTCACTATGCTGTATATTAAATCCCCAGAATATATTCATCTTATAATTGATGGTCTTTTCGCTTTGACCAACTTCTCCCCATTTCCCCCACCTACCAGCCCTACTCTCGACCATTCTGAGCTACTGACAGAGCAACTTCACTGAGCTTAATCTAATATAATGGAATACTCTGCCATCATTAGAAAAAATGAGATAGCTATATACAAGCATTAGGGAAATGCTCTCCATATTATACCTCCAAACAAACAAGACACAATGTATAGAGAACGTTCCTGTTACTACATATTTAAGTATATACATATTCTTATATGTGCATAGAAAGCACACAAAGAAATGCCAACAACTGCCTCTGAGGCAGAGACTACAAGGTCTAGGGTGAGAAGGAGGTTAGTTTTCAGTGGAGACCCTCCCATCACAGAATATCCTCTCACATCGTTTGTAGGGCTTACTGTATGCACATCTGACTTTTTCAATTAAGAAAAGCCTGTATATTTTTCAAATGCCACAATTAACTTAAGGTGCTTTACTAACATACAAATTACTTAAAACATTAACCAGTATTCACAACAAAGGACACTTCAAATTAGGTAGTTACTTAAGTTTGTGGCTGTTTGTCACTCAAAACCTGAATTAGACACCAAACAGCTTTATGATCCTAAGGATCTTAAAGGAAACTAAGTACTATGTTTTAACAATAACACCCATATAGGTGAAGTAAGTATGTAACAGATACATGCAGTCATTCATTTAAGAAATATTTATGACCTCTACGTGTAACTCGCCCTGCTGTCAGCGTCCAGTGTGTTCATGCAGAAATGCTTTCCAAAGAGAGTGCCTATATATGCAGATAAACATAAGCCTGCAGATATGTGCATGTAACTATGTGTGTGTGTGCCACACACACCATCTCTGTCTACTACACAAGCAGGATTAAAGATGTCACTTGTAATCACAACCCATCAGACCTAGTGGTCCCTCCTTGGAGCTTCAGGATGTATGAGCAAAACCTGCCCTGGCTGTCTTTTTAAAAAATGTTTTATTTATTTCTTTATTATTGTATTATTTACTTTATTTGGGGGGGTAATTAGACATTACTTTTAGAAGAGGGACTGGGGACTGAACCCAGGGCCTCCTGCATGCTAAGCATGCGCTCTACCACTTGAGCTATACCCTCCCCCCTCAGCTGTCTTAGAAATGACTATGCCTTGGGCTCATCCTGAGGCCTCCTTTTCCTCCAGGCTCTCCCATCTTACACACTTGTGGAAGGGATCAAAAGAATGTCTGTCCTTTTCTAAAGATCTTTTCTCTTAACTCTTATCTGAATCGTAAGTGAAGAGTGGAAACCAACAGTTAAATTTAGCAGTTCTCATTCTAAGAATTCCTCCTACTGCCCTTGGCCTCATCCCTGAGAATCAGTATATGTGACGAGGTGTAAGCGATGAGATCTGTAGCAGATATGAACAGTCTGGTTTTGGAGGGTGGGGCAGGCAGGGAGGTGGAGGCCGATAGGTTTCAGCCATCTTAGGCCCTGATCTCAGGTGTTCACAAGTAATGTGATGAACTTATATGCACTAGATAAAAGGTATTGTATAAAAGCTGGTATAAAAGGCAGAATTTCTGAAATTCAATATATCTTTGGAAACTTCAGGAACATTTCATTTAATGACCACTAATTATCTAACCATGGCAAAACATTATGTGCTAAATATTTTTGTTAGAAAGTTAAATGGAAAACCAACCATAATCGTGCTTTTTGAATTTACTCTAGTCTCAATATACATGCTTTGCCCCCAAACCATAGATAATATCAAACTTAAAGAGTATAATTGTAGCTATACCCATGAGTTCAAGAAACCTACAAGTTTCAGCTGTACTCTCAACAAATTTGTTGTTTGACTTTACTCAATTCAAATTAGAGTTATTCTAAATTTTCTTCCAAACAGTATAAATTTACTGGTCAGTCTCAATATAAGTATGCATGGAATTTTAACCATTTCATTTGAATATATACAAATACTACTTTTAAAAAACCCATCATTTTGCCCATTATTAACACTGTTGTGTGCACTTTTTTAAATTAAGACTTCCGATGTCCGAGGCACTCACTGCTAGTAAAATCCCTATCTTGTTTAGCCTTAATTTTCAAAAAATACATTAAACCTCATATTCTTAATTTACCGCAAATTCTATTAAATTAAAAACTATCACCATTAAAAGGAGTTACAAGGTGCATGCTTAAAATGATGCAATTTTTGACTCTTTGCTAAGTGCAGCTTGTTAACAGCTGTGCAAGTGCTTACACAATTGTTTTAGAAAATGAGGCAGGTGAATATAAACATAAATCCATAAACATACAGTAGAAGTTCTATTTTCATATAGGGATCCATTAACCTTAGAAAACAAATTCTCATAAAAATAGGTATAGAATGAATGAAGTTTTGCAAACGTATTTTTAAAGAGCACACAAATCCAATGGTTTGGTTCCCTTTTCAATTCCTCTTTAAAGTCCCCCCGTGATAACTGACTCCTCGAGTGATAATTTCTAAAGTATGACGAAAATCAGAGTGTATGAATAACCCTTCAGCCGTAAGCATTTGCGATATAGATATAGACATAGATATAGACATAGATATATAGATTCACGATCAAATTAAAACTCAGCTTGGAGCCCTCACAGGTCAGCAGTACCCGCTACACAAACAAGAGTAGCACCGCATACTCATCTCCGTATAACACAAAGAGGTCACTTTTCATTATTAAAAATAACCATGCATGTGTTGATAAGGTCTGAACTCTGCACTTAGCGGGAACCTCGGAGGAACTTAGGGAACCTGGATCTGCCGTTTTTCGCGCCCCGCAGGGTGCAGCTAACCGCATCATCTACCACTGGCGTCGCCCAGCGGCTTCTGCCTTCCAAAGGGCAGCAATGGGGCTCAGAGGCTGTCGGGTGTCACCTCCCCATGCACCCTCTCAGAGTGATGCCCGCGGGAAGAGAAGGTAGCTTCGCTGCAGCTCCGGCTGGTCGGCCTCCACTTCTGTCCCTGCGCAACGCACTTACTCTAACCGAGCACGACACGTAGGACTCAAAATAAAACACTTCTTTTTGGATCCCCGAGTGGGAACTCTAAGCAGCGCTTCGGCTTTTTCCCACGCTCCCTGGTTCCCTTCTCCTCCACCTCAGCGGCCCGGCACCCCGGAGGCCCCCGCGCGCGGGCCGGGAATCCCTTCCCGCGGCGCCCGGGCCGGCTCCCGCGGGCCCCGCCCCCGGACCCAGGCCCCGCCCTCACCGCGGCTCCCCACGTTCCCGGGATCGCCCGGCGCGCTCCCTGCGCCGCGGGCGCCTCCTCCTACCTTCCCCGCCCCGCCGCCTCCCGCCTTCCACGCTCCCCTCCGGCCCGCCTCACCTTGGTCCGGATCTGCCCCGAGGTGGACACTTTGCGAATCAGTTTCTGGGGCCCCTCTTGCTCGGCTTCGCTGTCGGACGAATCCTCTCCGGGCCCCGCCGAGGCAGCGGCGGGGGTGACCGCGGCGCCGGCCTCGGCGGTCGCTCCTCCCGCGGCGCCCGGAGGGTGGTGCTGGCCGCCGGCCCCGGCCATCCTCTCCGACTCCTGCGGGGACACAGCACCGCCCGGCGGGGGCGGCGGCGGCGGTCAGTGGGTGGGCTCAGCCCGAGCCGGGCCCGGAGCCCCGCGCCCAGCCGCCGCCGCCATCTTCCGCTCCCCTAGTCGCCCCCGCGGGGGAAGGGTCGCCCTAGACCAGACTCCTCCCGACAGGCCGTCCAGGATCCCGCGCCCGGTTCCCGCCAGAGCCGCTACTGAGGCGGAGCTCGGGGGACGTGAACCCCGGCCCGCCCGGGACCCCAGCGCGCAGAGCCGCAGGATGTTACGGGGTTCCCGACCCAGAATACGACGGCGCTGGTAGAGAGGATGGGAGCGACTGAGGGACGGGGCAATCTCCCACTTCCCCTAGGGTCTGGGGTCCCCAGGGTGGACCCGAGGGCGGGGGGACCCGTTACCTCCGCAGCCCACCCCCGCAGGCCCGGCAGTGGTGATGCTCCCTCCTTCGGTTCCTGAACAGCAGGGGCAAGGACGGCCCCCGGGAGGAGGAAGGGAACCTAGCGCTTACCCCCGACTCCCCTGGGTGCTCCCGCCACCTCCTGAACCCAGGATCTCTCCGGAGAGACTTGGGCCTCGCCGCACAGTTTCCGCGAGTAAAAGTCCCCTCCGGCTCCGAGATGGATGGACGCAGCCCCTAGTCTGCCTCCCGACCCCCAAGCCCTTCCCTGATGAATCGTACCTCTCCCGCCTCCGCCTTGGCGTTCGGGTCCTTTCAGCTCTCCCGACCGTGGCGTTTAGATTCGGGCCCACCCCCACCCCCATCCGGCGCACACGGAAGAGAAGAGCATTTTCCGGGAGGTTCCACTCCGCTCTGAGAACTTTTCGTTCAGAAGGAGCGATCCCTTTGGCTAACAGGAAACTGGGAAGGGCGTGGAGAGCGCGCAGAAACAAGAGAGTACACGCCGCCCGAGACGACAGAATGCAAAATAAATGTCTTAGCTGAAGCGCGAAGCGAGACTGCCTGGAAGAAAACAATGCACTGGAGCCGTGTGAACACCAGTGCCCGAGCACGAAAACACTGAAGTCCTGGGAGAGCCACTCCCTAACCCGGACTAGACCCGGAGGAAATGGGATCAACAGGCTGCAGCCACCGCTCACGACTCGTCCCCCCGCGAGCTGACTGAGCGGACACTTGGGAACAGCCGCTGCCTCGCGCTGCGTTGTGCACGCCGGGCGTCAGAGAACCCTTGCAGGTGTGGGAGGGCTTCGGGGAGAGGACACTGAAATGCCAGATTCCTCTTGTCGGCCACAGAGAATTCCGAACTGGCGTTAGCTGTCTTTCTAAGGAGGGCAGAGAGTCCCTGCCAAAGTGTGGAGTCTCCTCACACGTCAGGAAGGCATTCAGTCTCTTTAGCACGTTCATGCTCTTCAGGACTCATTGGGATTTTCTCAGTTGACATGACCTTTAAGGGTCCTCCAAGCTAAGATCCTTTTGTTTTTTTTTTTTTTGAAAGTTTCAATTTTACTGTCAATAATTTGATTGCTGTGACAGAACTAACAGTTCTAAAAGATTTTAAGAAATATGCAATCCCAGTACTACCGTTGGTCCATATAGTAGATTAAATTGATTAAAATGTAAAATGTGCCAGTTACTTTGAATCTGCAAAGACAGGAGATTGCTGCTTTGTAATACTGATGGAGGCTACTTCTCCAGGCTCAGCTGTCTTCTTTAAAGGGAAAGAGTTGGGCAAAATAAACTTTAAGAGCCCTATGGTTCTGTAAGTGTGTAATTCTATATAGACAAAGAACATACTGCTAAGGAGGGAATTATTTAAGAGAAAAACATAACCAAAATAATGGCCTTTATTCCAACACAACTGTTTGGTCACTGAGAAGTCCAATGGTCTCACAACATCAGTAAGAGCACCTAGTAAAGGGCCTTCTGAAAGAATAGACCTAGTTCAGACCCCTCTTTTAATGTAAAGGAACTCAGGCCCCAAGCCACAAGCTGGGACCAAAGTCAAAATCATGAGTCCTGTTCTAATGTTCTAGTCACTTTGCCACACCATATAACAAAAGTCAGTTTGTCAATTATCATATGTTTCAATTCATACTTTAGGCTTTCAGGTTTTATATAACATTTTCCAGAATCCAGGCAGAGAGTGATTAAATGAAAAAGCATTGTTTAATGCCCATGCCTATTCTGTGATCTTAAGAGGACTAAGCAGGGGTGGGAACAGCTCAGTGGTAGAGCACATGCTTAGCATGTACAAGGTCCTGGGTTTAATCCCCAGTACCTTCCTTAAAATTAAAAAAAAAGAGGACTGAATACACTTCTCACTCTGATTCAAACACTGATTGCTTAAAAATATTAAAACAGTTTCACATGCAAGTGCTGATCAATTAATACCTCAAAGTAAAGGTATTTATTACTTCATAAAAAATTGACCTCATAGTTATCCCTGCTCCTCAAAGTCTCGTGTAACAAGTTCTAAAATTTGATTGTGACTTTGAAAGCATGGCCAGTCTTAGCCTGCTTGTGCTATATAAATGAGTGCTGTTCTGCAATTTTCCTAGCACATACTTAGAGTGAAATACTGGATAAGCAAATGAAGGAATGTCACTTCATTTCCCACACAAGGCAGCTCATGAAGAACGCCCTTTTCTTCAATCATCTCTTCTGAGGAGACTGTTTCAAATAATTCCTAATTTAAGGTAGTGGACCCACTAGCTTCTCCTCAGGTCTTATCTGTAAATTAGGAATTTCCAGAATGAATATCCAATCTGTATACTGTATACCTGCAATGCACTTCACTGCCCTTAAAAATATAGCAGCAATGTCAAGAGCTGTATATCTGCCACCATTTTAATGTAGCTCAAAATAGCAACTAAAACAAATTTCAAAAATGCGGCATGTTGCGTTCTTTAATTTACAAGATTCTCTTGAATTTTTCCTTATTTGGTGCCTTCAGATTTTCAAATAATTTCTTAGATGCTTCTTCTTACATATTTATTTTATTATTGTTACTTTAAAGTCTTTGTTTGGAACATAACATATCACAAACACACTATTAAAAACTTGGACATAAGCCACATAGACACTACATTCAGAAAGCGATGAAAATAGAAGCTACCACTAAATTAGGTTAGATTTCTACTTAATAGGGTTTCCTGTCCCATTTAAAAAAAAAACCTATTATACTAAAGATGTAGAAGTCACAGCCAACTTTCATTCTGATACCAACTTTATGAATATGAACATATTATCTATAAAGATATTTTGAATCATATTCTTATTGATCATGACTTTTAACAGAAGAGGTTTAATATTCTTCAACATGAATTTGCAACTTTTAAATCCCATATGTTCTACGGTTTTATGTTAAATATTATATCATAAACATGAAGAAATCTACATTTATATTCTGAGGAATTCTAGTACATAGGCACTTCAAAAACAATTATATTTTAGGATTCACATTCCTAATCAATGGAAACCAGGCAAAGAACACTGCCTGCTTTCATTCAAACTTTAAAACCACTTCTGTAATACACTATCTGTTCCATGTTTAGGATGCCAACATCCGAAACTTTATTAAAATTTCCTTAGTTGTTACCTCAATGAAAAAGATTTCAAAATTAATCATGATATTAACTTCAGGTCCATATGGTTATCCCTGCACCTAAGACCAAAACTTTTGGTCCTCTAGACCTAATACATAAACATGCTTTTAACCGCTCATTTATATTTTGGCACTTTATCCTTTGAAACTCTTCCCTTCCTAATTTTCCAGTAGTTCTGATTAGTTCCATCAGAGATGACTAGATAAAAATCATTTGGGAATACAAACAAATTTTAGTAAGGAAAATATACTCTGGTATCCCTCCACTGTTTAAGAACTACTTTGTAAATACTCCCAAACTCTTTTTAAGTTTTGGCAGGAATTCTAACTAGCCATTTTCCCCCAAGATATTATCTATGAGTAAGGGTCGCTTGGCTAAATATCTTCCTACCCACCTGTTTCCACCAGTAAAATGTTGTTTAATTAATTAGAAATTTAGGTAATGCCTCTATTTCCACTGATTTGATTACATTCCAAAGCTAGCATTAAAGAAAATACACAGACACTGAATGCTAACATTTATCTTCTTGTAGGCCCAGTGCTGTAGCTGGAGTAATGATAAGGCTAACAGTTTATTTAAATGCCCTCACTTAACTAAATAACTTCACTTCATCTCTGAGCACAAAGAACGTCATGACGTCCGGCAGCTGCTTCTCAACTCCAGACACGGGTACTTTTCAAGCTAGACGTGCATTACTCAGCATTGATGCCTGACATTATGTTCACTCTTCTGTCTGAATAGTTCCACATAGAATCATATGATCGTGTTTAACGGTCTGGCAAAAATGAATGAGGAAAGGAAATCCCCACATATATGCTGGTGATATGCAATAAGGAATAACGCAATAGGACCTGTGTGATGTGAATATTGACTGTTCGATATTGAATAATCCTTTTCATAAATGTAAATGAGTATACTTTTATGGTAAAGTATTAAAGTTGCCTACATTTGAATTCAAAACCAGATTTTGAATTGACTGCAAAATGGAGTCTAGATCAAAGCAGATGTTCTTAACCCAAGGTCTTTGAGGGTCCACAGTTGGGATATGGGAATTCTGTGATTCCCTTGAAATTTTCTTAAGTTTTTATACATATATTACATACGTAAATTTTGGGGAGAAAGAGAGTCCATATCTTTGATTAGGTTCTGAATGGGATCACTGATCCAAGAAAAGTTCAAGAATCCCTGATTTTGATGAAAATTGTTTTAAAGGGAAATTGTCCCCCAAACACACTTAAACTGGTTATTTCCCCACTTTGTTCCGCACATCTGAAATAATTAACATTTAAATACTGTTTCCCCTAATTTACCCTTCTTCTTTCTCCTATACACCACTTTTCAGTAATTTGGATAACTTATCCTTTTTAAGAAATTAAATGAGAATTCCCTTTATTAGTTCTTAGATTCTGTGCCATACATAAATGGCCACAGGGTTTCGAATAAAATCACTTTGTCAAAAGTATCACTTTATGCCACATATCCGAGATTACTGAAGTTTTTTTTTGACTCTGAATGTAAACTATTAACATGTATGAAATAAGACATGCTGTTTACTTAGGAATGAGTGCTCCGTGAGGATTTAAGGATTGGTGCCTGTGTTAACTGCTATATCCAACAGCTCTGAACATAGTAGGTACTATATAAAATACCCTTTGAGTAAATAAAAAGGCCCTCAGTGTTTAAAGAAAAGAAACCTAAGTTTTTAGGAGAGTTCTGCAGTCTGGAGAAAGTGTCATATTTCATTCATGCATTTCTGTTCTGGCTCTAGTTTTAAAGGCTATCAATGGGCATTTTCATCTTTGTCACTTTAAAGCAAAAATAAAAGTTTTTCTCTATTTTTCTATGCACAAAGTAGTTCTGGCATCCTCACCCTAAAGTGAAATACATATAATCGGGTATCTTCATTGTGACTGGTGTTGGCTTAAAGTGTCCAAGTTCAAAACGGATGTCATATAGGAAAGTTTAAAAGTAAAAAAGTTACAAAAACAGGTCACTGAGTTTAGTTCTCAGGGATCTTTGATTTAAACCTCAGAACTGAATCGTATTTTTAATTTCAAGAATAATCCCCAGTAAGAACCCCAATAGAAGAAGTATGAGCAGATGGGCAACCTAACAACATGTTCAAATTTACAAAAGCAAAGACAGCTGCAGATACAGATGGATCAGAGTTGAAGGACACTCTCGAAAGGTCGGGAAACAGAAGGTAGAGAAATGTACTTGAGGAAAGGAGCTGTAAGTATTAGAA